TCTTCGACGTGTCTTAATTAATTGTGAAAAACCTTAAGAAGTTGAGTTTTATTTTTATTTTTATTTATTTATTTATATATATATTAATTACCCTTGATTAAATTCCTTTTCTTGCCACATTTGGGATGAGTTTTTACTTATTTCACATGAAAGGTAAGATTTACGTTCCACTCCGACATTATAAATACTCCAGCTTACTTCCTTCTCGCATGTAGCTCCTAAGGAGAAAAAATGATTTACATCATTCTTTGATGTGTGTCTTAATTAATTGTGAAAAAAAAAAACAAGAGTGTCTTAATTAGTTCATGTCTTAAAAGTTTTTCCCTTCATTTCAAATTTAATGTCTATTTTATCGGTCCTAATTCGATCCGCTCCCAACAGATTAGACAAATCTTAATCTGCCATCAATCTATTATCCAATAAATCGGATCAAATTAAATCTGCGGATTGAATTTTATCTAAATTATCCATTATTATTATTTTTATAATAATAATAATTTATTATTTATTTATCTTTTAACCATTAGATAAAATTTTAATTTATTTATATTAATTCAAATATTTAAATAATTATTAACTAATTAAATTATTATTAACTAAAATATTATTTGAAAAAATATATATAAATTTCATGGATCGGATTAAATTTTTAACAGCCCAATCCGTGATGCAATCGATGAATTACGAATTCGATTTTTTTTAATCCATCACCGATCCGTGGGTGTAACAATCCAATTCGATTAGACCGGATCTAATCGGATTTGCAAATTTACAAATTATTTGCCCACACCTAGTCTATCCTTTCATTTTTGGCTGTCTCAAAATAAATGTCATATTTAAAAAGTCAAAATACATATATATATATATATTTAAGTAAATCATCGCACTATTATGAACATATTTAGTATTCCATCTGTTCTAAAAAGAATATCCATCTTTCCTTTATTGATTGTTCCAAAATAATTTTTTTTTTTTTTCAAACAATATATTTTACATCTTTTCATATGTCTTTGAAGTTTAAAATTTTAAACTTGAATATTTAAAACTTAAAACTTAAAAAGGACAAGTTAATAACTTTTTAGGGGACACTACACTACCAAAAAAAGACTTAATATAATAAAAAAATATATATTAAAACCCATCATATTAAAAAGTTAGATTTTTGAAAAAAAATTATTTAATTTGGGAGGAATGAAGTTTATGTGTGCACCATTTTTCTAACAATCTGTTTAGTATACAATGTTATAACCTAATAGGATAATGTTAATTTGAGTTAGTGACATGTCACTATAAGAACCGTTAAATGAAGGCTCCTAAAATAGCCACCGCCAAGATTAATAATAATCAACGGTGATGAAAAGGGTTTGTATTCACATGCCCACACGTGGACATGACACATGAAGGTAGGGGGTAGAGAGATCTAGGTGGCACGTTCACATGTCTTGGCATGGTGTGGATAGTTGGTATGGTGTTGTTGTAAAAAGAGTTAATTAGCTTTAATAATTGATGACGTGGCCGATCTTCTAGATTTGGTTGGTCGAGCAGTGATACACTTTTCTAGTGTTACCTATGCTTACGTGTTAAAAGTGCATCATCCTACTAACTACAACACCACCTCTGTAAATTTAATTTATTGAGCAAGCAATAAGGAAGAAGACTGGTCAATATGTATATGTTCTTGTTTAACATTGAACAAACTTTAAAATTGAAACATTGTTTTTGTTTCGGTCCAAGTAAAAGCACAAAGTAATTATAATTGTCAAACAAATCTTTATTAAAAAAAGAAAATGATAATAAAGAACTGGTAAATTAAATAAATCCAATTATAGTGACAAAATTTCAATTAGAGTTGGACCAAATTATTAAATTAAAAAAAAAAAAAAAAAAACTAGTTCGTACTAGTAGAAAAGAGTTGATAAGTAGTAGTAGTAGTAGAAAAGAAAGCAATTAGTGAAGGCACATGGGAGTGGAGTGTGGATGGGACTGGAAGAAGAAAGAAAGGAAGAGAAACAAAACCAAATCAATTATTCGATTCACATGGCAGCAACAAAGTAGCTGACGTTGTGTTTTCATGTAAAATATGGTGTTTTTTAATCATCAAAACTCTCCCATTTAATTAAAAAAAAAAAAAACCTTTCTCATTTGTTTTCTTTTTGACTCCTACGTACCATCTGATCTGAGAGAGAGAGCACATGGCCATCAGACCTCATTGACGTGACATTCCACGACCCACATCCATGTCCCAACCCCTCTCCTCATATTTACACAATGATTTGTGTCAAACTAAATTTGTTGTGCTAATCCTCTCACGTTTATATTAAATTATAGTTAATATTAAATAATAAAACATTGCAAATTAGAATCATAAATTTGGGAATTGAATTTCAATTTTTACTATTGAAATTTGGGTTGGTAAAACTTTGGAAATGGGTGAGAACGTGAGATACCAAATAAGACTGTAGTAACTAACCTAATAAGTTGTCTGCAAACGGAAGGGATTGGTCGACTCATGGGCCAAAAACTTTACTGTATATGTTTTTTTCCCCACTTACAGCTGGAATATGGTCCCACATTTTACGCGGAATTATCACTTCCATCCATGAAAGAGTGGCGCGTATCTTTCAAATCTTAGGGTCGTTTGGACTTGTTCTATAGTGGAACCCAACTCTTCAATTCTAACTCAACCCGAATTTAATCTTCAATCCTATCTACTCAATTCATTTTATTATTAAATCCGAATTTAGGGTTAAAAACTAGTGTTTTGAATCTAATTTATTAGCTAAAATTGCATCATTCTAAAGAAAAAATTATTAACAATGTGCACTCACTTTGTACCTTGACCATCAGATAAAAGGATAATTTCATATAATAAACATGTTTAATTTTATTTTTGGCAGTGATAGTATTTCAGTGAAAGTATTCAAATAATAAAGAGTAGCGATACATCATTTGAATTTGGGTTAGTCCTTGTGAGTGGAGGTATAATCCCGCCACATGACACAACCCTACTACTGTATCAAAATTGTTTTGATTCTGATTTACCTCTAAATCAAAGAAAATCAAAACTCGTGTACAGAGACTATTAGGATTATGGTCGGATTGGATTCGAATTTGTACCCCAATTTAAATTTCATCTAATTGTTCACTCATTTTTGCATGTAGGTCTCAATATTTGAGCCTAGTTGAATAAGTGACTCTCAACCACGAACTTGTTAATATAATTGAAGACCAACTTATTAACTAGTTCATAGTTGAGAGTCACTTAATTAGTTTACTCAATATACACTTTAACAAGCCAAACTTAAAATTTCTTAGATTGAATTATATACTTTTCAATCTCAACCTAAAAAAAGCAGAGCTAAACTTTTAAGTGTCACTAAATTAAATCAGTTTGTAATGGGATCACCACTGTAAACTTGGTTCCCAACAAATAGTGCTTCCGTGTGTCAAGACAGTGTATCACTGCAGTCATCTACTTCTCGTGAGTTGAATACCTCTGCTCACCATTCTTAAGCTTCCCGCTTTCAAAGGCATAGGGGTGTCCCTCCTTAAGCTTCCTGCTTGCCATTGAAGCAAAGGTGTTTCAAGTTGGTTCCTTTGAGTTTATTCTTTGAGACTGAATTCCGGCCACATTCTTCCATTTTAAGGCATAATGAAATAGCTTTACACATAATTAGAATATAATTAAATCCAAATATCATTACTTTTACCTTTATTTATTTATTTAGGGAATAAGGAGTTTGATACTTAGAATGGAATGATTGGCCACGTCATTTAGATTATTTGTGTGTTCAGTTCAAGCTTCACGTTCACTTAATTAAAGTACCAATTTGACCAGAATTATATAGTGAGGATAGAGTTGTTCTTACAAGTTGTATTTTGTTACTTTCACACTCTTTCAACTCAGAATGTGGTACAAGCATAAGTATATTTATACCCATTAACATGCTACAAAGTCTATTCATCTTTAAATTATTCCCGCTTAATATCTCCGGTCAACCACTCGACCCTATGTAAACAATACACTTTATAATATTAACAAAATATATATATATATAGAAGTTAATAGGAATTAGAAGAAAAGAAGACTCGAACTTAAAAACATAAAATAAAGGTCGCCTAAAATCTAACCCTTTATAATTTGAACAACGCCACCACCCCTACTTTTCCTTTACCTCTACTTCGTGCTAATTATTAATATTACTAGTCAATTCATCCTAATCATCATCTCCTTACCTTTATTCAATTCCTTGTCATTTTATTGCACCCTATAAGCTTTAAATACTCAAATTGGCAATGTCACTTTATTTGTAACAAATTGTTGGGTTGATGTCTTGTCCCTTTGTATGAATGGAATTCAGGCCCAATTAGATTTCATGAAAAACTAGAATAACATATTGAATAACGCGATTAGTCGTCATAGTAATATTTTTTTATTGCTTACTTTTTTTTTTTTTTTTTGGCGTAGTGGAATTTTAAATTAAATTAATCAAAATTTTATAAGTTACTTTCACAGCTCATCGTGTACATGACGTTAAGTATAGATTTATCTCAAAGCAGTTGATTACCATGTGCCCCACTTACTAATTCTGCAAGATTAGTGAACTAATGTCCTTCAAAGAGTCAATAGTAAGCAATAATACTTTTTCCATCTTCACTTTTTATTAATTTAAAATTTTAAATATACAAACCACAATTCCCTCATGACATGTGCTAATGTTCTTTGTCCTTGAGGGTACCTTATATCACGTGCCAGCCACATGCAGATAAATGTTTTTTTTCTTTTCTTTTCTTTATGTAGCTATTTGGAATCAAGTAAGGATAAATTTTTTGGTTAAAATAATAAATAAAAAAAAAATTTAAAAATTAAAAGGGAGAAAGAGAAAGGGTAATGCAGGGCAGGCAAAAGAGCATTAATTACAGAGTTAAAATTATAGGCCTCTGCCCATGTGATCCGTCCCCTTGGCTCCCACTCCCTCCATAAGTACCCCCACCTCCCTCCCGCTTTCCAGTTGCCCCAAAACCCCATTCTCGCTCTTCTCTTTCTCTCTCTAAAACACACACACTCACACACATACACACTCTCTCTAGTACTGTTTGTGAGTGAGTGTGAAATGGATCTGACTAGAGTGCTTTGCATTGCAAGTCTGCTCTCGTTGATGGCGGTGGTTAACGCTCGGATCCCGGGCGTCTTCACCGGCGGAGCCTGGCAAAGCGCCCACGCCACCTTCTACGGTGGCAGTGACGCCTCTGGCACCATGGGTAAAATCGTCAACCAAAATTTATATGAATCTATACCTATAGACATATCAATGAGTATATAAATCCTAACAAGTACTAGTATATTTTACAGTGTTCTTCCATCTACTCTGAATAAAGCATATAGCCCCATCTCAGATTCGCACTTTCTTTACTGTAAAATCTCCATTTCGCTCTTAATTTACCCGCCAAACCTCACATTTCCCTCTTAATTTACCCGCCATATCTCACATTTCCCGCCATTTTCCCCAAAACAGTGAAAAGCTCTGTTTCACAGCTAATCTTCCAAAACGAAGTTCACAATCTTGATTTCTGCAGCCTAACATACAAACCCAACTTTTACATTGTTTAATTTCCATCTAAAATCACCTATTTAACTCCATAAAAACACTAAGAAAAGTGTTTAAACGGCTTAGTCACTCGGTTTGAGCTACATTATTGATACAAAAGCTAAATAGCTCTTGTGGCTTAACTGTCTTTTCAGGTGGTGCTTGTGGGTATGGAAATCTGTACAGCCAAGGCTACGGTGTGAACACGGCGGCGCTAAGCACCGCCCTGTTCAACAATGGGCTGAGCTGCGGAGCCTGTTTCGAGATCAAGTGCGCCGATGACCCCAAGTGGTGCCACTCCGGCAGCCCCTCCATCTTTGTCACTGCCACCAATTTCTGCCCGCCGAACTTCGCCCAGCCCAGCGACAATGGCGGGTGGTGCAACCCACCTCGGACACACTTCGATCTCGCCATGCCTATGTTCCTCAAGATCGCCGAGTACCGTGCCGGAATCGTCCCCGTCGCTTTTCGCCGGTGAGTGCTAAAGCTGAGTAGTCAGTTGTTTCTCACTACCTTTTTTTTTTTTTTTTCGTTTGTTTTGACTCACTTTAATTCATGAGCGCTAATTGGGGACCGAGAAACACTTTCTGGATCCAATTTTTTTTCTTGTGTGACCAAAATACCCTTTCGGTATTGGTTACTTGCACCTTTGAATGTGTACCTCTATGTGGTCGAACATGTCATTTCTCTAACTGAAATACATCAAACATGTTGGACTAGGGTAACAATGTAAATCCGAAAAACTTTTAGGGTATTCATTAATTTAAACTTTTCAATTCACGGATAATCAGGATTGGCACATGCATAAAATTCAGATAATCCGAGACATGTCTCACGGTATTTCACGCGTTGTCGGGTCAAGTGACCCACCAGTCACGTGAAACGCGTCAATTGCTCAGTGGGTCCACTCATTCACCGGCAACTACCGGTCAACCTAGGGTTTTTAACCGCCTAGAAGCGCATTGTTACGCGGCGTCGTTAATGAATATTCCTGTGTTTTTGTTTATAGTGTTCCGTGCCGAAAGCAGGGAGGGATCAGATACACAATCAACGGCTTCCGTTACTTCAACTTGGTTTTGGTGACGAACGTCGCGGGTGCAGGGGATATCCAGCGCGTTAGCATCAAAGGGTCTAAATCACAGTGGATGCCAATGAGCCGAAACTGGGGACAGAACTGGCAATCCAATGCAGTCCTTGTGGGCCAGGCACTGTCATTCAGGGTCACAGGCAGTGACCGTCGCACCTCCACCTCCTGGAACGTGGCACCGCCTAATTGGCAGTTCGGTCAAACTTTCACGGGAAAGAATTTCCGGGTCTAAAAAAGAATGGGAAAATTTCGAGTTTCCCTCCTTCAGTTTTCTTTGTTTTTTTTCCGGGAAAATTTGAAGCTAAGTGGGGGTTGTAGTAAAAATAGAAAAGGAGCAAGAAAGTGATAGGCTAGAAAAAGTTGGTGTGGTAATATTTTATTTTTACTTTTACTTTAATGTAATTTTGAATTTAAGGTGGGTTTGTTGTTGTTAGTTGTTGGGCTGGTAAAAGTAAGAACCAGCATTGGTAAAAAGTGTAGGAGCTGAAGCGACTGCAAGAAAAAAAGAAAAACATGTAGTCCGCAGCTCCAATTATATATCATCAAAAGTACTAAGTACTTTATATATATATATATATATATGAGAATATATAATTGTAATTGTCTTTATATATATGCGTGTGTTTTTTTTATGATTGCTGTTTGGTACAATTTAATTATATAGAAAATACCGGTTTGAGTTATATCGGTTTCACCTTATTGTGGAATTTAATGGAAATGGAATTCAAAACGAGATTTGAATTTGAGTTTAAAATTGAGTATCTATTATTTGGCAAAACTAGAATTCAAAACGTGATTGGATTTAAAGGGAATTCAATATTTAATTTGTTTTGTTTTGCAATCTTATGTAAAAAAATGATTGTATTTGATGGTACTTGAAATCTACTATGGTAAAAATTTGCCCTTTTGCCTTTACTCCTTTTTAGTCAGCATATTAAATTTCAATTTATTTCAAACCAAAAGTGAGATTTCTCAAATGCTTTCAATTGCTCTTAACTTTATACAATCTAATTTCGTTAAGGTCAATTCCAAATGCAGAAAAAAATTGACAGGTTGATACAACTGGATGTAATAGCAACATTTATGTAAAGCATCTAATAGTCTAACAACACTTCAATTAAATAGAACACCTTAAACTTTAACCATTAGTCCAACTAGTTCTTCCTCATTCCTTCAAAATAATGGAAGATTCAAGTCCGGACAAAAAGGTATCAAAGATTTTACCTTGAAATTAGAAACTATTTCTATTCCAAAATAAATGTATTTTTTTTAGGAAATCGTGAATCAAAAGACATTTATTTGATAGCAACCTCAAATCTTTGTTCCTACTTTATTCTAACAATAAGCTAAATTTGGCATTGAAAGTTGACATGAACATATATAGATATAATGAAGTGGACTATGACATATAGAGTATCATTCTTAATGGAGAGAATCTGAACTTCTTCTTCCTTCAAAATGGATTGTGCCAAAGAGAATCATTATCTCCCTACTTATTCCTCATAGTAGCTAGATATTTTACCAAAGTTGATCTCAAAATTCTATGGACTAAAAACCACTCACTTTGGATTATAATGACCAGGGTGAGCATTAAAATTGAATGCCTCACCTAGAGAAATATGATCGGATGATGATGGAATTTTACACTATCATGTTATTTTACACTATCATGTTTGACAAACTAATCTGACAAGAAGTTAAAGTATAAGACTGCAGAAAAATAATAAGTCAGTCCGATCAAGAAGCATCATTAAATATGATTACGGCATTTCTTACTCACATAAATGTAGTTGAATGCGGTTATATTTTCTAACACTATATCTCAATTAAAAAATGAGTGTTCCATCAATATGCTTTAGTTAGTTTGACCAGTCAGTCAAAATGTAATTTTTCAAATAGATTTGTTAGGTCTTAATTTCAAAATTGCCTACTTTTTTTTTTATATATCTATTTTAAAATACCTTTGGTTAACTAATTAGGTTCGACTGGTAGTTGCATCTACCTTTATAAATTTTTTTGGTAGTATTTACTCGTATCCATTAGAACTAAATCCTCAAACCCTAGAGATGACAAATTCACTGTGCCCACTGCCCTCTCAGACTTTGATTAGTTGGATCTCACTTTCAATTCAAACCATATTTGGTTAACTAAATTGCTGGTATATGACATGTGGGGTGCTTACGAAATAGGTAATGGTGGGCCGGTGATAGGTTCTATTAACGGACTGGTCAAGCCCAAAAAGAATATAACCAGTCTCGTTTGAGAAAAAACAAGAATGGAATTTATACCTTATCTTTCATGTCCACAAAGCCTTTGGTACAAAAAAAACAAACAAGGTTTATGGTTTACGGTCCGTTTAGTTGGAAAGAAAATTAAAAGAGAGTAAAGTGAATGAAAGAAAAATTAATTTTTTAATATGCATTTAATTATTATGATTTTTTTAATAAAAAATGTAAGCTTGAATACCATGAAAGTTAAAAGAATTGTCCTTGTTATTATTGAAAAGCATAATAGGTAAAAAAGAAAAAAGATACGAGGCCTGATTGATTTTATTCCAAATAAATAGGTTTGATCTTTGTAAAGAATAAAAGCAATACAAGAATCTAAATAATTAATATTTTATAAGGGCATAATTGTAATTAAACAAACTTTATTTAGAAAGATAATTAAACAAGGGCATAATAGTAAGTAGGGGTGCACAAAAAAATTCGGAACCGGAACCGTGAGAACTGGAACCGAAATTTCAGTTCTTACAGTTTCGGTTCCGATTCCGGTTCTTAAAATGAGGAACTGCAACAAATTCGGTTCAATTTCAATTTCAATCTCACGGTTCGCGGAACTGAACCGTAATATATATTACCTCTATCCTCAAAAAAGTGTCACGTTTCGGGAATCGTGACAGTTTATTTTGTGAGAGTTACGGTTCTCTAAAAGTGACACTTTTTATAGGACGGGGAGTATATTATATATACATATATATATATATATATATATATATATTAATATTAGTAACTCTAATTTCTAAAGCTTTAAAACAAAATATTTTTAGGGCAAATCATTTCAGCCTCCCCAACACCAAGTGCCTCCATCTCTATTCTCCTTCTCGACTTTGAACTTGCCCTCTCTCTCTCTCTCTCTCCGTCTCTCTCTCCAACTGCAAACTACAAAATCTATAAGAATCAGTAATTCAAAACCCATATATTTTAGATCTGTTTGCAAGAATCAAAAGTTCAAAACCCATATCGGCATATCATTTCAAGATTGTTCAAAAAATCAAAACCCATATCTTTCAGTTTCCATCGCCCGTTGTTCCAATTTGGGTTTGCAAGCTTCAGTCACTGTCTCTCAACTCTCAAGCTTGCCCCCCTCTCTCTGTGCAACTGCTAACTTGTATGTATGGGTTTTGTTTTAATTTTTTTTACCAAATCAACTAATCAAGATCTGTAATTCTTGATTTTGTGTATGCATATATATATATATATATATCAAGGTCTGTAATTCTTGTTTTATAATCAAAAATTCAAAACCTTGATATATATATATATATATATATATTTGCGAATGACCTTTCATATAAAAATGATTTTGTGTATTATCTGTAATTCTTGATTTTGTGTATTCTTGTTTTATTTTTAAAAGGAGGAGGGGTGGCTAAAGATTGGCGAAGCTCACGAGCAAATTGATTCAGACAGTCAACGTTTTCTTGGAACCAAACCGTGAATGTCGGTTTGGTTCGGTCTGATTCTAAATCTCAATAATGGTTCGGTTCCGGTTGTATTTTTAAAGAATCGTTAAGATCGGTTTTGGTTCCGACAGGAACCGTCACAAAACTGAACCGTGCGCACCAAAAAGTAAAATTTATTTAGAAAGATAATTAAACAAGGGCATAATTGTAAGTTCACTATTTTTTTTTTTTTTTTTAAATGATCTTTTCACTTTTTATTTATAAATATATAAAAAACACTTTAGTCTTTTAATCGCTTGACGGATAAACATATCCTTGTTAGTACGGTATTATATACACTATTATATATGTATATGATGATGTAAAATTAGTGTGAGAGATTTGAAACAATTCCTTTGTCTGTGACACTTTGTGCATCCTCTTAGAAGAATTTCGTGCTATGCTTTGCTTTTGATTTTGTTTGCAAACTAGTATTTTTTCTTCCTTTTTTTTTTTTTTGGTCTGACAATAAAGTATTTTTGCTTCACAGGGGAAGATAAAAATGGGGAAAGAAAGTGGATCAAACACTGGACTTCCTTGACCATCGTCCAACATTCCAGGGGTAAATAAGGTATTATGATTTAGAAACTTGGATGAAAATAAATTGTAAATGCAGGACTTATTTGTCCTAACAAAAAAAATTTAGGACTTGATTGTCTTTTTGGTGTAAAATAGAATGAAATTTTCCCCAAATTGAAGGCTTCATACCTTCTTCCTAGCAACTTCTAAGCAATTTCTTTGTCTGCATATATAGAAAAAGTGATACTATAAAAAGAATACAAAGTGGTTGATTTGCAGTTTCGAGTAGTTAATTGGTCACCAACACCATCTTTTCTTCCTATCTAGCTCTTTCGAAAATACCCAATTCCAAGGCATGGCTTCTGGCATAGTCTTGATACCTTCAATGGCTACCTACTTATTTGTAATGAATGGTACGGTCGGAATCTACAACGCTGTTGCCAGGGGCTACTATTCCTTTGCTGCTGCCATCATTCTGGTATTTTGTGTTCTGTTCCTCAATGAATACTCGGTGTCGGATTATCGAAAATTGGCTCCGAACAAGAAATCAATCGGGAAAGATTTCTTGAAATTCGGCTTCTGGTTCTTGTCCACAGCCACGGTTTTTGGTTTTGCGTTTCGTATCGTGAGGTTGATCTACGTTGCCGCCGGTGAAGCAGACCTTGTCTTGCTGGCTGCTTTCATCCCTCTCTACGGCGTCGCAATTGTTGGCAGTGCCTACCTTTTCCATCTCTGCAGATTTCCTGCTCATAACGGAAATGGTTGCACTCATCATGATCATCGCTGGATTCACTGCTGCAAGGGAAAGTATATGGTTTAAATTAAATGTTATATTAGTTTGAAATCCCTTTGTGTCTTCTGAAAATTGTTGTACGAAGGAGACCAATTTAGAGAATAATATGTACCCGTTGTTGTGTATTGTTTTCTGTTTAATTTACAAGCTTCATCACAGAAATTGTCTTCTCTTTTAAGTTTTTGTGTTATTTCCAATTATATTTCCTGATGTTGGCGTTTGTTATAATTTAATATAACTGTTTGAAAAAATTTCTGTTTCAATTTAATAGTACAATTACGACAATTTAATAGTACAATTACGCTTCATTGCTAGAAAACGCGTAGTGACAATTTAGCTTCATTGCTTCAATTATTGACGGTTTCTGGACCATTGGTCCAGTAATCATAACAACTACTGGGTCGCAATTGACCCAAATCTAAGGTCGATCTCTATGGCCAAAGGGGTGGGTATCCACCATGTTCATAGTGAAAGTGGGGGTCGTAAAAGCAACCCAGGGTTGTGCCACGGACGGCGACGACCACAGGCCCCTTAATAAGGCTTTGGATAGAAGGTTGTGCAGAAAAGCAACCAAGTT